TGTGCATGCATTGTTCTCCTGACCTCAGTGAGCACCTTTATGATTTCCTTTGAATTCTTTATCAAGTACATCACTTATCTCTGTTTTGTTAATTTTTTTCCCCTTAGGTTTTAACTTGTTTTTTCATTTGTAAAATATTCCTCTGTTTCTTTATTTTCCTAGACTCTCTGTTGGTTTCCATGCATTAGGTAAAACAGCCACTTCTCCCAGTCTTGAAGGAGTAGCCTTTTGTAGGAGATGAATCTTATCATTCAACCCTGCCCTACCTCTTGGTTTTTCTCATTTGTGATTTGTTAAAGCAGCCTACTTTGTTCTTAGTGGCTCCTAGTAGTTGAGGGTGTGTCAAGAACTGTCAGTATCCCAAAGGGAAGGATCTCAGTCAATATTTAGATTCAGGCTGAGTGGAAGCCAGACCCTCAGGCAGTAGCTTTGAAAGTATGCAAATATATGTCTTTCAGGAGATTAGGAGATGGACATTTCTGTCTGTTTTCTCTGCGCTGAGCCCTGGGGTGATAGCCAATAAAGAGCTGTTTCTTTGTTTGCTACTGTCCTATAGAACCCATGAACACAAACCTTGCTGGCTACCAGAACCAGGTTTTCAAGAAATGGGTCCTCGGGGTAGTAGCCACAAAAGTCTGTGCCCTAGCCTTCTCTTTTATAGAACATTTTAGGATGTGGAATGGTGGGAACATAGTTTCAACATACAACCCATCAATAATAAGTTCATATAATCACTAATCTGAAGAATGTAAAGAATTTTTATGACACCAGGCAAGACTGTCAAGGCTTGGTTATAAAATAAAGGCAATCCCAATTCCTTTCAATTTTATTATTTTTAGCAATTATACTTTGTGTTACCATGTACAATGAAATTAGTCTTAATTTTTATATCTTTTTAAAAGTTCTTATGTAGATAAATTTACATATGATACAGGAAAAAAGAGTTTCCCAGACAATATGTTCTAATTTTTGCTTCAGAACCCATTTAGTGGTTAGTTTTTTTAAATGTTTTCCATTCTACAGGAAAGACTTAAAATGGGTCTAGTTTCCTTCCAAAACACCTTTGATCAAGTCAAGCTTAAAAGCTATTTTGGTTTACATTTGTAATGTTTGACTCCATAAAGCCTTAGTTCATAATATACTAGTTCCTTATTTCAGATACTTGTCACTTAGTTCTTTATACAAAACCATAGAAATATTTAAAAACTGTTCACTTTGCCCCTATAACTTGTCTAAGCAATGATTTTGTCCTTAAAGACACAGATATAATTCATAGTAAGAAGTAATAGAGGGGCACGTGGGTGGCTCAGTCAATTGAGCATCCGACTCTTGGTGTGGGGTCAGGTCATGATCTTGCAGTCATGGGAGGAAGCCCTGCATCAGGCTCTTTGCTCAGGGCAGAGTCTGCTTCAGATTCTCTCTCCCTGCCCCTCTTGCTATGTCTCTCCTTCTTGCTCTCTCTCTTAAAAAAAAAAAGTAATAGAAAGAAGTAAACTCCCAAGCCAAAATAAAGTAATAATATTGTATTTTCCTTGGGAAACTAATGTGATATGGATCACTATCTTATTACACATAAAATCTTCATGTCTGGAATATATTAAATTTAGCTCAAAGTTGGTGAAACCCAAGGATGCTAGTGATACCTTACATACATATAGCACTTCATAGTTAACAAAGTACATTTGTAGGCACTTAAACTCTCTAACCTCTCTGTGAGATTATTCACAATTATATATGTTATGTTAACATTACTAGGAAAAGAAATTTAATTGTACCTTAGAGCATTAATGAAGCATTAGTCCTTAATGCTTCATTTTGCTAATTTAAAACAAATTGCATATAGAGAGGTGGGAGAATGGTTCTACATATAGCTATGTAGACAGATGTAACTTCTTTGAGGTCTAATATGTAAACAAACCTATCATTGGGTCTGCAAATGCTAAGATTGAAAGGACTTGGGGAAGTATATGTATAGGGATCTGAAAAAATCTGGGAAGCATGATAAGAAAATATATGCAATAAGACAGAACATATTCATGGGTATGCAATACTTTCTTCAAAATAATTGTATCATTTTCCTGTATTACTGAAACAAAATTGTGTTTTACTTCTTATTTGCTCAGATCACATATATTTTGCAGAATGACTACCTGTGTTTTCTCTTTCCTTTGTTTCCCCTTCAATACTAGATAAAAGTCTCTTTCTAAGAGTAATTCTAATTTAAGTTAGATATATTCTGAAATGAGTCTCTGAGTAACACTTCTTTTGTTTCTATAGTTTATTCAATAATTGTATTAATACATATGGCCTGTATGAAGTTTAATTTTGCCGAGATACATGAGTTATTTGCATCTCAGAAAGACTATTAGTGGAAACTACAAAAGTGGATAGAGATAACCATAGTTACTTGCATAAGTGTCTCCCTTTTAAACATCCCTAAAATAGGGGCACCTGGAAGACTCAGTCGGTTAACTGTCCAACTCTTGGTTTTGGCTCAGGTTGTGATCTCATGGGTTGTGAGATAGAGCCCTGTGTCAGGCTCTATGCTCAGCAGGGAGTCTGTTTGGAGATTCTCTCCCTCTTCCCCTCCCCCTACTTGTGTGTGCTCCTCTCTTTCTCTCTCTCCGTCTCTCAAATAAATAAATCTTTAAAAAAAAATCCCTAAAATAAAAAGGGGATAATTATGGAAATGAATTTTTTCCAACGTAGGTAGAGTAAGAGTAGAATATTTTGTCACTAGTGAAATTTCTGAAGCCTAATAAGAACAGCTGAGATTTTTTTGAGAGAGAGAGAGAGAGAGAGAAAGAGAGTGGGGGCTGCAGAGGGAGAGGGAGAGAGAGAATCTTAAGCAGGCTCCACGCCCAGCATGGAGCCCAACCAACATGGGCTCCACCTCACAATCCTGAGATCATGACCTGAGCTGAAATCAGGAGTCAGACACTGAACCAACTGAGCCGCCGAGGTACCCTGAGGCATATTTTCTTATGGTTTTATCAAATAGAATCACTTTTGGTTTTTCAGATGATCTTGTTCTCAAGCTTTTAGGGATATGAGAACAGAGGATATAGGAAAACTGTAATCAGGGGGAAATTGATATTCTCACCTAAAATAAATTATGGATTAGGGGACTATAGGAGAAAAAAGCTAATAAATATAGTCATTTTAAGATTACTATTACTCTTATCATATCTGGGTGGGGTTTTTCTTTTTTGTAGGATTTTTTTTGCAAATTTTTTCTTTGAAACTTTTACTCCTAAAATTTCCTTGCTTTGTGTTTTTCATGTATCTCTTACTTTTTTGTCTTTTGCCATTACTCCCAGCTGGGGATTTTCGCCTGATATTAATGTATATGACCTTCTATTGACTGATTTTACAACCAGGGTTAAATATTCTGAAAAGTAAGGGTTTTTCTGTAGGTACAATGGACATGAAGTAGAGGTCCTCTTAATATTATGTCTGTTCATAGAGACTAGAAATTAAGTAATATTACCTAAATATGTATTTAAGAATGATTCAAAATTGAGCAAGTTTTATTTTTTTAATTATTCCTCCCAGAGAATATTTTTGTTGGTTTTTTACTTATCTTGCCAGTGTTTCTTTATACAAATGAAGGCAAATACAATATATTCTTGCACTAAAGTTAGCACACTGTATATATTCAATCAAATTATATACGCTGTCCTGTACCTTGCTTTCATCACTTAATGATATGACCTGTAGACCTCTTCAAATCAGTATAGGGATCTTCCTCATTTCTTCTTATAGCTGCATAGTTTTCCATCAAATGGGGTGCCTTTTTTTAACTAGTACTTGACTACTATTAAATACATGGGTTATTTATAATCCCTAAATTTTGTAAGTTATGCCACAACCAATACCCTTGTACTTGTGTTCTCTCATACTTACATAGGAGATTGTATAGGATATAGTCTCAGAAGAGGGATTGCTGGGTCAAAGAGAAAATATGTCTGTATTTTTGTAGATATTGCCAGATGCCCCTCTATAAGAGATTGTTTGTTTTTGAGCATGTTTTAAAGAAAATAAATCATATGGTTTATTACCTTTCTTGCCCATTCTAACTTCAACTTAATATAACCTTGGTTCCACTCAAAATTTTAAAATTCAGGTTCCTAACCAATTCTTTCCTTTGTCAGAGATAAATGTCTACTTGCCTCTAACATTTCAGACTTTTATCTAATACCTTTGAATGTCTAGTGTCAAAAATCAATCTGAGTGACTTTCCTTAACTCTTCAGAGCTTTATCATCAACATTACAACCTGTAGATCCAATTAGTCTACCTGGTACCTGATAGTAATAATCAGTGCCACAATCTAGTACAAACCTCAGATTACCTGTTTTCTCTGCTCTGTATTAAGGTATGCTTAATAACTAGCTTGTTTTTTTAGGCGGATTGAGATACCAATTAAACCATACAATTCTCCTCTTCTTTAAGACATGGCAAGGTTACCTTCATGTATATTCATGCTGCTTGCAGGGAAAACTTACCAAGTCTTTCCTTATTTGGGTTTGTTGCCAGTGTATGGAAAAGGTGGACCCTAACATGTAGAGGCCCAACCCTCCTATTGCATTAAACTAGAGGGTCATGGACAAAGCTCTGGGCTCTGAAGCAAAAGACCTAGGCCTGTGTCTTAAATGATACCTTAGAGATATAGCTTAGAGTCATACAATTTCCTACACTTAGTTATATCACCTGTAAATTGTGGAAAATCTGACTTGGCTCACAGAATGTTTGTGACAGTAATACGATATACTATAAGTAAATGAGTTCTACCAATTCTAAAGCCTTGTTAAGTAAAAATGAGATGGTATATTTATTTCCTCTAACTGAGGCAAGCTATAACAATATCTTAACCTCTATCTCATCTATTTTTGGTTCTTTCCATGTTTAGAGTACATTGCTAAAAGAAAAAAGCATTATGCCTTTTTGTAAAGGAAAAAAAAGCCAGAATTTAAGAAAATATTTTGTTTTCTCTTTTAGCTATAGACTTCAATATGACAAAAATTTTAAAGAACCCAAGAGCACATACAATGCCCACATTCAAGGAAGAATCAAGTGTATCAAGACTAACAACAAAGGTTTGGAGCATAGTAATTATTAAAAATGTTCTTACTTCTTTAATTTGCTTTATAATTAGTTGAACAGCTTCATATAGGCAGTGTTCATTATTACATTCCTGACATATGTCTTAGAAAAATTTAATGATCAAAAGTGATTTATTGGAGAGGATAATCTTAATGTTAAAAAGTCTTACTGTTTTTTGAAAATATCCTCATCTCTAAACTAAAAAGATAAACCATACCATTCATCTTTTCTCAACTTCTGGCACTGCTTGTCCTTGGGTTGATATACAAACATGGCTCTGATCTCAATAAGTTCTAGTCAGGGTTGCAGGGAAAACTTCGTAAGAGTTTTCAGCAATGGCTGACCTGTCCCTACCTCTTAAACCATGATCCTGGGATAACTGGCTATATGTAGATACTATTACTGATAAGTCTTGGTTGCTTAGTTTTTCCATGTTTCTGATAGTGCCTCCCTAATAGAGATCCTTATGGACTTTTCCATTTTGTGTTGCTTTAGCCAAGATTTGATGAGTTTACTGGCTTGGTATTCTGAATTTGATCTCTTGTTAGACAACTAGGTTTTAAGTTTGTTGCAGTCTTTATTGCTAAAATATTGTCTGAATTGTCTAGTCAAGTCTGACCATAAATTTTATGTTATGCCTATTTAAAAACCACTTTCTGAAGTCAGTATTCATATATTTCCTGATCTTTAATAATCCAGATATATAGAACAGTGCTTATAGTGTTATATATATATTATATATATATATTTTATATATATATATATATAAGCTATATATATATATATATGTATATATAGCTTACAATGCTGCCAAGAATGGTTTGTAAGTCCTTAAAATAGAAACTGGTGATCTCTAGGAGTCAATTTGGGATCAATGATGCTATCACACCATTGGGGGTGGGGGACACGTACAATATTGCTGGATTTAGAAATCAGGAAATGTAATAGAAATTGTATATGTGATCTTCAGCAATCACTAAAAATGGCTCTTTGTACCTTGTTTACAAATTGAAGAAATATGGACAGGTGGATTTATAACTGACTGAACAACCTTTTTCAGATGACGCTGTTAAAAGATGGAAGAAAGCAAATTGCAGATACACCTTTGGTAATGCACCACATCACTGCATCATTGGCCCTGTCCTATGTAGATTATTTTATCAACAACTTGGATAAAAATATGGTTGCCATTTTTATTAGATATGTAGATGCCATAAACCTTGGAAAAACTACAAACACATTGGATGACCAAAAGTTTACAACAGTCAAGTATTGGGCATCAAGTATCTTAGAGATAAAGTTTTATTATGGAAAAAGCATAAAGGTCCAAAATTATAGCTGCATAAGTATAGGATAATAAAGCCATGGGATAGAGGCATCTGAAAAGATTTAGAAATTGTCTTTTAAAGTAAGCTCTGTATGTATCAACAGAGAATGTTGTTGACCCCCAAATCTACTGCATTCTTGAGCTATTTAAACAGACGTGTGGGATCTACTCTATGCTGATTAAACAATTGTGTATTATGTTCATTTTGGAGTTCCACATTGTGAAAGGGTGTAGACAAACGAAAGTGGTCTGAATAGAAAATAATCAGGGTGATGAAGGGCTTTGAAACCATATTTTTTTCAGCAATCACCAAAATATTTAAAGGTATTTCCACTAGAAAAAAAAAAGACTCTGGTGGCCATAATAACTGTTTTCAAGTATGTAGAGAGCTACTGTAGGAAAGCAGGATTAGGCTTTTTCTGTGTGGCTCAAAATTTTTTTTACCAGTACAAACCAAAAAGTTTTTGTTTAGCCATAAGTGAAAGCTATAGGGAGACAGTTTTCCGTTCATCATAAAGAATTTTCTAAGCATAAGTGTTGTCCAGATGTTGAATGGGGGCCTGTGGCTTCTCAATGCCATTATGAACATTGGCAAGGTGCACAGGCAAACCTCAAAAATGAAACTTTAGCTTTCTAGTCATCATCAGCAATTATCCTTTAATAAATTAACCAAAAAAATTAAACACCAAAATCATCCCTTGGACTTTCTAGCTCTTCTCTTGTAACACTTCCAAAGTTTATAGGATTGCTTGGTTCTCCAATTTAGTACTAGGTTGACTCTTGACTATAAAAGTCTTGTTTGATGGAACCTTAAAGTTTTCTGATAATTTTCTGCCATTGTCTTTTGTGGGATAGATGGAAGTAATGGAGCTTCTGCTAATTGTTTTGGCTATTTGGAGTATCTCTAGCAAGAGTTCTTTGGGCAACTTCAAACCTTCCACTTTAAAGTATCTAAGAAAATGGCTAAGGCTCCACAAAACACTGGATATGCATTTAATACCTAGTTCTGCTTTTGTCAGGTTGAACTACCCTTAAAAAATCAGGGGCCATTAGCAAGGAAGAAGCAGGTATTAACTGTGGTTTTCCTATTTTAAAAATGGATAACTGCAGAAAAATAACAGAAATGTCTATTTCTAGAATTTCAGTAAGATCTAGGTTCTATCTTACAATATCCAAGGCAGAAGCCAGGAAAAGGGTCATAAAACATCTTTCTAGACAGGCAGTATTTCTTTTTAATCTAGACAAAGCTTGGTCTGATTTTGCATGCAATTTAAAGATTACTCAGCCATCAAAAAGAATGAAATCTTGCCATTTGCAACGACGTGGATGGAGCTAGAGTGTATTATGCTAAGTGAAATAAGTCAGTCAGAGAAAGACAATTATCATCTGATGTCATATGTGGAATTTAAGAAACAAAACATATGAACATAGGGAAAGAGAAGGGAAAATAAAATAAGAGGAAAACAGAGAGGAAGGCAAATCATAAGACTCTTAACTATAGGAAATAAACTGAGGGTTGCTGGACGGTAAGTGGGTGGGGTGATGGGATAACTAGGTGATGGGCATTAGGAGGGCATGTGATATAATGAGCACTGGGTGTTGTATGCAACTGATGAATAACTAAATTCTACCTCTGAAACTAATAATACAGTATATGTTAATTAAATTGAATTTAAATAAAAAATTTTTTAAAAAGATCAGGCTAGATATAACCTAATGTGAATTTTCATGGGAGATTGAGATGGAGTAAATTATTTATGTAATAGGAAAAATGTCTGATTTTGACATTGAGTTTTCACCATCAAAGAATTGCTTTTGATTATGATAGTCCTACTGTTCAAAATAATTATGGAGCATCTCTGAAGGAAAGCAATGAAAAAGTGACCATAAGCAAAAGAAACACAAGAGAACTTTTATGTATTAGTAAAAGCAAATGAGAATAAAATCTTGCTTCCTCACAGGAAGTGGAAATAATAAATCTCTCATCTATGCATTACAAAAATGGAGGAAAGACATAATATATGTAGTTGCTATACTGACCTTGTATCCCACAAGAAGCCAGTAATAAGCAATTATATTTATGGTCACTTTCCCTGACAGAGAATTCACGGTCAACAGTTTTTTCCATCAGCACTTTGGTTACATTATCCACCTGCCTTCTGGCTTCCTTTGTTCTGATAAAAATTCAGCTTTTAATCTTATTGGGGTTCCCTTATATGTTGTTTTTCTCTTGCTGCTTTTGAGATTTTTCTTTTTGTTTTGGTCTTTCAACACTTTGAGTATGATGTGTCTAGGTGAGTATTTTTCCTACTTGGAGTTAAGCTTCTTGGATATGTTTTCCACAAATGTTTGGAGGTTTTGGTCATGTTTTTCTTCACATTTTTTCCTGTCCCTTTTTCTGGAGTTCTGTTCATTTTCTTCTTTCTTTTTTATTTCTGTTCTTCAGACAGAATAATCTCTATTAACCTTTATCAAGCTGATAAATAAGAAGGCTAAAAGGGTCTTACTGCGTGAACTCATAGATTCACACTATAGTAAATTTCTTTATTTAAGAAGATGCTTCGAGTGCCTGGGTGGCATAGTCAGTTAAGCGTCTGACTCTTGATTTCGGCTCAGGTCAGGATCACAGGGTCCTGAGATGGAGCCCCGCACGGGGATCCCCACTCAACAGGGAGCCTGCTTGGGATTCCCTCTCCCTCTCTCTCTCTGCCCCTCCCGCCTGTGCTCACTCACTCTTTCTCTAAAATAAATAATAATCTTTTTTAAAAAAGATGCTTTACAGAGTTTCTTTTTATTTATTTTAGTATACCAAATAGTAACTTTATTTATAGTTACAATGAAGTTATATTTATTTACAGTTCTTTAAAAACACATAAAAGTAATAATTGACTTGATTTTTTTCTTCCCTTTACAGTCCCATTATATTAGCACTGGTCCAGAATTTAACCGTGTGCTCTTCAATTTTGGAGGTCAGAGTCCACTGATTTTATATTACCTTAAGATGCATGAGTTAGCTGGTATTTCCAAAGCCCCTAGACAAACCAAGATTAAACTTACTGAAATATCGCAAGAACCATATCCTTTTTAAGCTTTGCTTTAATGTTATCTTTTTCTAAAATGTTCAAAACTTTTTACTAAATGTCACAGTCAAGAAAAAAGTTTAGTGCATTTTTTAACCAATGTTTTTTACTTAGCATTTAATTATATTCAAAACTTTCATAGCATGTTTGGCTAAAGTATTTTCTCTTTTAGGTCTAAGGCTGTGATTTTGCATGCAAGAAAAGTTTTAAAAAACATAAAGCCCAGGAACTGGCATATGTAGCTCTTTAGTAAAAGACTGTTAACTGTTCAGGGTTCAGTTTTAAGCATTTGTCAGACTGTGGATCATGGGCTTCTAGGTTTCTCCAGAGGGAAGTTTCAAGCATGTTTTAGCTGTGTAATTCTTTGTTCCAAAGAAAATTTGTTAGAAAGGTTAATATGTAAAATGTAATATAAATGAAATTGGAGCTCTTTCATTGCAGCAGGGGTGAGGGGCCCAGAGTTCTGTACACTTCTATTCCCCTACCCCCTCTGCATAACCCATGCTGGCCCAGCCCTCACTGGGGCCTCGGATGAACCCCAAAGGGATCTAATACCATGGTCTCCAAATGGAAGTGGACACAACTCTGGATAGAAAAATATATATGTATATATACATATATCTATATCTCTATTTTAAGATAAGTAAACTGAGGCACAGGAAAGGTAACTTGCTAAGTGATGGCACTTGGAATCTATCCTTGGTAGTCTGGTTTCACAGCCAGTACACTCGCATCCTCCTGTTTACCCAGGAGAACTGTGTAGCTCCTGAAGAAAATAAAAGTCTATTCTGGTCTTCTAAGGATAATCACAATTATGGTTTGGGGCAAGGGTGGTAAGAGGCAGAGAAGTCAACAGAGGACAAAAAAGAAAGGATGCCATGATAATGTTCCTCATATTTGAGAATAGTTATTTGAAATTTCTACAGTTGGTTCTGCATTAAATTACTTTAGAAGTTTTTCTCCAGACATGTAAGATTGCATGACCATGCACATTCTATTTTAAAATCCTTTATTTACTGAGAGATGTTTCTGATACACTTTCTTAAGCCCAAATACAGAGCAATAACATATTTGATCACTATGCAGTTTTTAAATCAGAGTCTTGTGGAACAGATACATTTAAAAATAAATTTAACATTATAGGTAATATTTCTTTTGATTTGGAGTCACTTGCCGAAGTCATAAGAGGGAAGATTGCTTTATTGTCAATGTTTTAGAATTCATATATAAATACTGAGAGACTGGAGATGTTTGTGGAAAGGAGGAGGAGGGGAACAAATGTAATTGTACTTCACAGGGGTGCTCATGATTCTGACAGGATTTTTAATGAATGTCCATAAGGAAAATAATAAACTTTTTTGCTAATGTATATTAAACAATTATGAGTAGAAAATTTGAATATTTTTTATGCACGGTCTTTGAATATTTTCTTAAAATTGATCACTTAGTATTAGAGTTGAGTAAAATGGCAAAAATTTTTACTTTGAGGACCTCAGAGCTGAATATGTAATGTGTCTTTAAACTGTGTAGAATCATGTGCAAAATGTATTTGGAGCTCTTACTTTTCCCTTCTCACATCATCTGTGTTTTTATAAATCATCTCATCCTTTAATGTGTTGAGAGTAGACTAACAAAAAAAAATACCTGGAAGTCTGATATTTTTTCCATGTGAAACACAAATTATTTTTTTACAAGATAAAGAAAACTCAGGAACACAGTGTTGGTGTAGTTTGTAGTTTGTGTGGTGTAGTCGGTGTAGTTGGTGTAGTTTGTGTCTCATTCCATTGAAAAGGAATGTCCATAGGCTGTGTCTATGTGTGGGTCCTGTTAAAAAGAAAGGTCTGTGGACTGTATCTGTATTTCTAACATGAATTTAGAAGGTTCACATTTTGTTGCAGTTTAGAAAAAAAATCTGAACTCAGTGCAGTATCATAAAGAGTGCATTGTGTTACTACAAAGACATGCTCCAACCATCACATATGCATATACAGACTTATTAATATGTAAAAACTGTCCAGGGGTGGATTGTTAAACTCTACAGTTGAAAATAATATGGGATATAGCAATACTTAAACCAACATAAAAATAAAAGCTATATAAGAAATCATCTGTTGTTAATTACCTGTGATGTGGGAGAAGCAAGTAGTCAACGGGGGGGGAAAAAAGAAAAGGAAGAAATCCTGAGACTCATGAAAGGTCATCAGCTCTGTATAACACTTGATCTTCACACAGTAAGAGTCCAGTGGGAAACTCTTCAGAGCCATGTGCAACTTCTTTTCACTTTTATTTATAAAAATATTTCCAATAATCTTTGTCACATGTGCATACATAGATTTTTTCCTCACTAATATGTGAATAACAACTTCTCAGTTGTTACTAAAATTACTATCAAATATATTTTTCATTTCAAGTCACTGACATTTCAAGTAATTAACATATACTAAGGATCTGGTAATCACATTTTTATGAAGGATAGATTAGCTAAAAGACAGATGTTCGAAAAAACCTCTAATCCAGAACCTTCCCACCTAGTTATTTTTCTAGTAAAGATAAGATAAAATACTTTTTTCCCTCAGTCCTTCTAGAATTATCAGGGTGAAATGGATAGGAAGGCCTACACTGCTAGAAAGTTTTTTCCATTATCTATGAGATTATACCCCAAAAATTTAACCCTCATTTCCCTTCAGCTTCAAAACTAGGGGTGTGGATATGACAATATTATATTTTAATGAGACCTTTCAAATAATAGAGACCACATGTTAGCTTCCTGGAATGGGAGGTTTTTAGAAAATATGTTGAAAACACCCAGCCCTGAAACCCTGTAGCAACACAGATACCCTCCACCAAAACATGATGGAGGACTGATACTTTCTCTAGTCATCTGCAAAGAGGAAGAACAGGGACAAGGTATGCCAAGGCTAGGGAAAGGAAGAGAACGAAGTGGGGAGATAAGGGAATAGAGAGGAATCCCAAAACCCTTGGTTGCACTGAAGGAGTCTCTAAAATTTACTCTAATTTGAGCCCAGATTTGAGCTTCTTATCCATCTGTATCAAGCAGATGGATTGGACTAGATAAATTTCAAGTCTTTTTGAATCCTGAAATTTATGATTCCGTTGGAGGAATTTGATTTTCCATGCTGTCAGTGGATAAACTAATAAATAGCTCAGCTTTTTCTGAAATGACAACATTCTCATTTTGTCAACTCACTGTAGAACAAGGTTCTTCAGAGTATACACTTTCTCATTCTTAGTTGTCAGCTTCCCTAAAAGGCCACCAGAATAACCAGTTGATCAAGTAAAGCTAAGTAAGAATATCAATTTAAAAGAACTTTAGTAGTGTCTCATAATGGGTAAATTCAGGGATGATATTTATAGGGATTTAGGGCCTAAGTTGGATGATTTGGAGTCAAGCTATGCAAGGCAGGGAATTATCTGGGACTGGGCAGTGTTTAATTGGATTGGTGGGCCCAGTGAAGCAAGGGTCTTGAAGGGAGTTTTGATGATCAAGCTACTGTAACTGGTTCAAAGTCTTTTCTTTCAGGAGAAAGCATTTCCTGGAACAAGTAGCTAAGGTATTTTTATTCTTATTGTCAGCATTATTAAATATAGGGATGATAAAAATGTATGCATAGTCCCCAAACTTTTTAACACAGAAACAGCTTAATAAGACATTAGTCAATCGTATTTCTACCTCCTCTTAACAACAGCAATTAGACATCCATCTGCAGACAAAAGTACCTTTGTGGGGAACTGTGGGAGCAGCACCATTCGCCAAGGAAACTGAGGGGCGTCTCACCCAACTGTGCATCAGGTAACAGGCATACAGACCTCAGTTCTGGCTTTGGGCCCCATACTGGCCTGTGAAACAACTCTGGCCCCTCATGGCTACAGTCTGGGAACCCCTGGAAAACACATCATAGACAATCACCTATGGATAGGAGGGCCTTTGTAGAAGTTCAGGTTTCCAGTAGAGAAGTTCCAGTATTACAGGAAAACACACACACACACACACACATACATATGAATGTGGACACACTGGAGAGGGCAAGAACAGCTTGAGTCCCCCAAAGTGGCACAGCTTAAGGCCAAGAGAGATCCTCTTGGCTGTGATTTCTTACATGGGAGAAAGTGAGAGTGTGTGAGCACTCAGCTTTCCTAACTTTGTGGGTTGCTGCCAGAAAGGCCCATTTCTCTCTTACCCCACTTATCATTTATCACTGAATCATGAGCTGTTTGACTTGGGGAGCAAGAAGAGACTGGAAGAGTGACAGATAGGACTCTCAGAGGGCATTAAAGGGATGCAGATCCTACTAACTATGTCATAGACTCCATCAAGAAGCCTGCACACAAACCACTAGGGACACCTCACCCACAGATTTTTCAACCGTCTCATGGGTACACCACCCCCACCCCCAGTGCTTTTGTGCCTTACCCACACACCCTCATACCCTGTGGACAGCTCCCTGTTCATGCTCCAAATGGCAATGGTGAGAGCAAGCTTTGGCAGATGGCTGGTGAGCACACACAAAAACCTGTGCCAGCCCAAATCTTGGTTCAGGGAGAGACCACAAACTTGAGCTTTAATCCACCTTTGGGAAAACAAAAAGAAGACTGTCAGCCCTTGCTCTGGTATGCTACAGGATCAAGAGAAGACATACAAGCTTAAGAATTCTGCCACAAGGGGGAGCAAGAAACATGGAACAGGTATATCCATAGAAGGTCTGTGAAAGCCTCAGAATCCCTAGCAGGGCTGATGGAAGGTATTTCTTTCCTGAAGGAAGTTAGCAAAGACTAGAGGAGGTGACTGCTAATTCAAATGTGAAGACAGCAACACAAAATTTCAAGGAAAATGAAGGATCAAGGAAACATGACATCATCACTAGCTCACAATAATCCTTCAGTAACCAATCCCAAAGACATGGAGACCTTGATTTACCTGATAAAGAATTCAAAATGCTGTTTTAAAGAAACTCAATGAGCTACAAGAAAACACAAAG